CGTTTCATTCAGTTGCTACTTTGAAGCTAATCGTCAACTGTTAAACACTGTTATGAAAAACAGGCCAATTACCTTCAGTTAATTGTTATACATGTACAAATCTGGCAGCTAATCTTCAGTTATACGATGTGAAATACAAATGATTGGTCATTAAGTCTGTACTATATATATAGCCGTTTCACTCAATTGCTACTTTGAAGCTAATCGTGGAGTTTAAAGCACTTAAAATGTTAATGAACCATGCCTAAATCTCATAGAAAACATCTGGATATTTTACTCACGTGGAAAGCCATTGGCTGAATGGAAGTCAACCAATCACCGTAGATTATTACAAACTGGCTAGAAGTATCTCACAGTGGAACCACTTCTGATCCAATGATACTGTTATGTGAACACCTGAAACAGGTAGGCTATCATAACTCAATCAGAAGTACTTTATCTGATGATTTTGGCATATCTTAATTATAAAATACCTGTTCTGAGATTGAGTCCAAACTCACAAGGCCAGCCTGAATACCTGACGAGATCCATTCACTCACAGCTGGCACAAATCTTTCGTTTGCAGTGGTGCCAAGAACATGTACAGTAATTTTTTTTTTACAGATAAGTCATGTTTCACCTAGCATTCAGATAACAGATGAAGAGTCATTTTCAGAAAATACGGAATCAGGTCTAACCTGTGTTTTGCAGGGATTTTGCATATAAAGGAGTGATGAAAGTATGTCAGGGGTAGGAATAAGCTTTGGTGTGCCTATTAACTTCTACATCCTGTGCGATCTTAACATTAAGGACAAACATTATACAAATCGCATTCTAAGAACCTTACAGTTTTGCCCCTGACTTCAAACTTATGGTCGATAACACCCTCTCCTGTACTAAATTGATTAACATATTCCTTAAAAAAGATAGAATTAACCGAATAGAGTGACCTTCACGTCAACTATACCTCATTTTGATCAAGTCTGGATGGGGTGCCCTTTGGAGACGCGTCGCATTCCATCAAGGGATTTCAGACAATGAAGATGCCATAGAAATAGATTTTTTTTCAGAAAAATGATTGAGGATACCTCAAAACCTTTCCAGCACTCTAATTTTAAGCATACAACATTGATGTCGGGCTTCCCTTATTTTTCTTGGGGATCATACTTCATAGTGAAGTGAAATTTCATTCTAAGTATTCATTTGCAAATGTAGATTGAATGGACAAATCATGACTGGTCATCATACGCGTGATATAAGTAATGATGAAATGGGTGGAGAAATTGACGGTATTTTATGACAGAGTTCTTGCCTTGTCACATCCAAAATATTACAAATTCCAATTATATTTTAATTGTTTTGTGCAGCTTATCTAAGCTAAAATACTAGGTTTATATTAAAAATCGTACAGTAAGTTACTGAACATTTACAAACTATTGAATTATAATTTTTCTATTTTATCCTGATTATCTCTACTGCACTATGATATTTATCATTTAAAATGGTTAAAAATTGTGTGAAATATATATGTAGATATATTATTGTGATAAGTTAATGAGGTAAAGTTCTATTGGATATACAAGACTGTTTAATGTAGGGATCATTATTTAACTTATTTTGTCAGTTAATATTTAATGATTGTTTAGTTTTTCATAACAAGAGAATCAAAATTTAATCAGTTTAAAGGAGATAGTTATGACAAATTTGATTACGTAACTCGGTAAGAGTCGTAAGTTGTCTTTGCAATTACATTTTTGTCGAGGTTTAACTGATATTGGGCCCGGCATGGCCAGGTGGTTAGGGAGTTCGGCTTGTAATCTGCGGATCGCGGGTTCGAATCCTCGTCCCACCGAACATGCTCGCCCTTTCAGCCGTGGGGGCGTTATAAAGTGATGGTCAATCCCACT